TAATTTGAACTAAAACTGGATTTTAAGAAGAGTAAGGGGTTAAAGTGTGAAGAGAAAGGTGTTTTGAAAATCGGTGATATATAGAAACCGAACACAACGAGAATTCACAGTTTTAGACCGAAACTGAAAAATTAGGCCCATGATTGAGTAACTTGCACGGTTTTAGTACAAATTCTTAAGATAGGAAATATTTGGGATTGAATACCAAATATAAGGATTGTGGACCTTTCCGAATTAAATTTTAATGTAATTATTGATCTTAGATTTTACATCTAACGATCGGAAATTTATGCAATATGATCGATTAACGATTGAAGTCAGAAAGCGTCAAATAAGACAAAGGACGCAAAGTTAGCAAAACTTTGGTAAATACAGTAGTTTTTCTATGGCTACATCACGAACAAGCTTACTTTTCTATGTTGCACAAAAATTGTGCATATGGTAGAATTTTCAATGTTATATACAATGTGAAAGTTAGATACTATGCTAAGCATGCATCTGCAATCTACAAGACCTAAGTAGTCGTAGAACTTTATTCTGCGAGATGTATGTATTGATGTTAAGTCAAGATCAAGCTAAGAGAAAGAGTTAAATTTAAACAAAAAGTTAATCTCATGATAAATTGCTCAAAAAATGCACAAATTCATAAGATTTAACTAAAGTTACCGTTTCAATGAGAAAATTGATAAACGTTAAGAGACCAAACATCCTGTTTGTACCAGCCTTTGAAGGAAAGGTTATTATGAGACTATGAAAGAAATAAAACTATGACTGAGTTGGATTGGTTAGCTACCCCACTCCTCACTAGTTATGCCTGCTATGGTATAACAGGACAGAGCCCATAAAAAGTAAAAGACAAGAAAATAAAACACAAAAACCATTCCATATAAAGGTTTGGTATCTGTAAAGAAGAATGAAAAGAATGAGAAACACAAAATGAAAGTCGTTCGGAATGTAAAAATACAATATGACTGACTATAATGAGACGAAAGCTGAACAAAGTACGAAATGAAAGAAGAAAAATATAAACCATACATGTTTTAGTAGTACAGAATGTATTAGGATATATGACATGAATGCATATATGGGTATGCATAATTATTGCATCTGTTATGACCTATTGATACTTGTTGAGCGAAAGCTCATTAAGTTTGTTCGTGCTGTAGGAAGCTCGGGTAAGGCAACGGCTCCCTGAAAATGTTGCTGGGCATGCAAAGAGGATGTGACAACAGAGTGTGGGCAAGTAGGTTGAGTATGCATCATGTGTTTTAGAAACGCTGTTGAACTTTATGTGTAAAAAGTAAATAGTTTTTTATGAATAGTTGAAATAAAATGCTACAACATTTCATGATAGTTGAAAAGGAATGCTACAACATTTCATGAATAGTTGAAATAAAATGGTACAACATTTCATGATAGTTGAAAAGGAATGCTACAACATTTCATGAATAGTTAAAATAAAATGTTACAGCATTTCATGATAGTTGAAAAGGAATGCTACAGCATTTAGGAATGCTACAGCATTTCATGAATAGTTGAAAAGGAATGCTACAACATTTCCTGAGTAGTTAAAAACAAATTGCTACAGCCTTTCACAAATAGTTGAAAACATAATGTTGCAGCATTTTACGAATGAAAATAGAATGCTAGCTAAATGCTACAACATTTAGACGTACAAGGTAAAAATAAAAAAAAAATCAGCCTGAATTTTTAAGAGGTTATAACTAGTGAGTAGTAGAGGTTAAGAAATGTTAAGTGTGAACATAGAATGATGATCAAAAGTTAGAGTCATCACAAATTCTCCAAACCAAGAATTGCTAGAAACAAAAGTTCAACAACCGAGAATTCATCCTTAATTCGCTCGATTTTCAAGTCCTTTAACCATCACAAGCTAATCATCATTTTAAGTAAAATTTTTTATGCTTTCCACTATACTCCACGTGCAGCCATGCTAAAAAAATGGGAGTAAAAACTTGAAATCTCACCTTAGAGAATGAACAACAAGCTTCGGTGACGCTATTCCTCAGTAACTTCATCAATTTTCGCTTACATCTCGTTTTTCCTCACTTTGGTGAAATTTTTTTCTCTCTTCTCTCTAGGCTGGACACTCTCTATTTTTTACATGAAAAATAGACATTTTCCTTGTGTTTTCTCCTTTAAAAACCGACCATCAAAAAGCCAGGGGGACTAAAATGTAATTTTGGCATTTTCTGAGGGCATTTTTACAAAATTCAATAAAATATCTCATTTCTTCTTCACTAAGTTGGGTGGCCATCCTCTCTCTCACCCTCCACATGTCACAATCTCATCTCTCTATCCATTAATCACATTAAATCTTAACCATTCGTTGTTTTAAATCTAAAATGAAACATGGTTAATTAATTATGATAGAGAAAATTTCAAGTTTAACTATTGTTTTTTCTAACTCTATTATTTATGCTACTATACAAAATATTAATGCCATCACAAAAAATAACCTGCAGGTTAATCAGGTTATGAAAGGTAACCTATAAATTAAGAAGGATAACCTGCAAGTTATGCAAAGATAACATGCAGGTTATTAGTTGCTTAAAATAAATTTAAAAGGGATATTTACATTTTTATATATGTGTTTTGCTTTTATTCAAAAACCATACTTTTACTTTTTAATCTCATCAAATATATACATTTAAAGTATATATTTATACCTTTCCACAATCAACCCTCGATTTTAAACTTAAAAATACCTAAAAGACCCTTTAATAAAAAACATAAAGGCAAAAAACTAAAAAAGAAAAATTTTAAACTTACAGTTCTTCTATGTTTTTAATCTTTATTTTTTTTGTATTATCAAAAAGTTTTAGGTAAGGTCTCCGGTCAGGCACTTGAAAAGTGCCTGACTAGTCAGATACTTGTATAATTATGCATGAATTGTGTATATTTACAGGTAAGTTGTGTATATTTACATGGCGCTTGTATAATTGTGGAATCGTGTATATTTACATGTAAATCGTGTATATTTATATATAAATCGTGTATGTTAAGTTATAAAAAATGAAAGTGTATATTAATCCTCAAAACATGTATTTTTTATAGCAATTAGTGAACACATAACATGAAAATATGTATATTGGCTTATTTGTTGTATTTTATGTTAAATATACACGATTTTACATGTAAATATACATTATTTACCTGTAAATATATACAATTCATGCACAATTATACAAGTACCTGACTGGTCAGGCACTTGGACAGACAATTCCTCACACTTTATTACTTTTCCATGTGGGACAAGTGAATACCTATTAAGATCATGGCACGGTCTGCTCAAGAAAGATGGAGTGGAAATCTATATTAGAAATGGTTCTTATTCAAAAGACCTGGATATATATATAGCAATATAATTAGTGCAGTCACATGAGTATTTTGCCAGAAGAAAAATACAATACCATTCAAGGGGGTAATTTTAACTTTCTAAGTTCAGCAAGAAATAAAAAAAAATCCTGTAAATAAAGGAGATCAGATTCATGGTGGATATGTTGTTAATCCAAACGAAGAGCAAATAATGTTCTTCATTAGAGATAATCAATTATTACCTGCAAAGATAAAGAGAGAGAAAGAATGTTAGAGAATAATACATATGGACACCACTAGCAAAAATATATATATTATTATATACATTTTTTTTTAAGGGATGTACATATATATAATAACTATAGATTCATACACATTTTAGATATATATATATATATATATGTGTGTGTGTGTGTGTGTGTATGTGTGTGTTTAGCAACTTACTGATCTTGATGCTCGCCTATAGTACTTGCGGAAGTACTAGCTTCTTGTTCGGCTTTCCGGGCCTCTGTTTACACAACGGGATTGGAGATCTTCAGGTAAAGATATGGTATAGTTGTATTCAAATCCTCAAAGCAGTAAAAAGACAATATATATATATATATAT